CATCGCTTATTTGAAGAGCAAGGGAAGGATAAATCACCAAAGGGGAGGGGGCAACCACGCCTTGGGTCAACTCTTCTTGCACTTGATTCCACTTGTTGATATTGTTGACAGTCTAGACGTAGCCGTTAGATCAATGGCTAAGCTACGCATAAAAGCGTGATAGTAATACCTTCTTGCTCGCTATGAGAGGAGCTACTTTTTTCGCAGCTGTCACTAGGAGACAATCAGCTGATTGATAAGAACAAAGAAATCATGACGCTCACATTTTCTATCTTCAGCGCTGGCGCTCGCCTGACCGAGACCATCTTGGTCGTCAAGGTCTGCGTCGTCACCGAAGCCTAGGGCAGCAGGAAGGCCGGTCTTCTTCATACTGGATGCAGCGCTACCTAAAGATGCCGTCGTGATTTTGGCCATGATAGGGCCTTTGTTGAAACTGAGCGTTACTGGCTTGTCTGAGATGGGCAGCGCAGATGCAGCTGGAGGGGCGGTGAGTCCAGTGTCGGCTGTTTAGATGGCGATTAATTCATACATCGCCAATTCCGATGATGTTTAAAAGGAACCTTTAGATCTCTTCTTCCTTTCTTTCTCCTTCGTCTGAGCTTCCGGCACCGGCAGTGGTGCCGCAACCTCGAATTCCAGTACGGCAACCATAGAAGTTTCATCCCAATATCTGACCCATGTGTCTTCCATACCTCCAAGCGCGAGAGATGAGACCAATGCAGCGTCATCTTTGGTCATTGTATCCGCGACCGGTTGGAATGAGTAGGGGTGGGCGAAAGAAGCAGCTACCGGTCGGTCAGAAATCCGGAAACCAGCTGGGTGGATCTGAGGTGACATGCTTGAGGCGAGCACTGTGGCAGCAGACTGACGCATAGTAAATCAGATATTGAAGAGAAAGATGCAAAGTTATAAAAACCTGTGTATCCACAAACTCAACAAAGGCGAACCCAAAGCTCGCCATAGTCACTTTATCCTTGATAAGGACAATTCTCTTCATCCCCTTCGCGCCTTCCTTCCCTTCGCCTGCTGAGTTTCTCATTGCCTGATTAATTGCTTGAGGGCCAGAAAGGGGGTCGAGTCCTCGGAAAAGCAGCACCGGCGCCTGAGCACTCCCAATGTCCCGTGTCCCGTCGTTCATATTATGACGAACACGAGCCTTATCATGGGGCGTGGCGCTTTGGGAATAATCAATCTTGATACGTCGGCCGTCGTGAGGTCCTCCTGACGCCATAGCCTTTTTGAACGCGGCAGTGGCAGATGCCCCGTGCGATGCGGGTGGAGGCACCTGGATGTACGGAAATCGCTTGTCCACGAACTCAAAGGCATGGTCTGCGCTAGTGAATTGGGCAAACCCGAAGCCCTTTGAAACACCTTTGAAAATCCAACGGCAGGGCAAACGTTAATTCGTGTGTGCAGAGACAAATACGAATGGGAATGTGCCTGATGATCTGTCTCGGATGATGGTCACAGTTTCGATGCTGCAGTCGGCATTGGCCAAGTATGCCTGAAGCTGGACGAGAATCCGCGTTCAGTGAGATGTTGCAAATATGGGGGCTAGAGAAGAAAGTCGACAGACATCCGCCTCGGTAAAGTCTGGATCTAAGCCGAGAAATATAACATGCGGGCTTGGTTCGCTTGGTATGAGACGTTTGGTCTTGTTGAACCCTCCGCGCTGCTGGGAGCGGTCGTCAAAAGACTGGTCGTATTCGCCCTGCCCGTAACCAGCGTCGTAGCTGTTATCTTCGTTTGCCTGGGAAGCATCGTAGCCCTGTCGGCGATGATTAGAGCAGTGCATAGCTAATATTTAAATACCACTTACCCCGTTATTCGTTTTTCTGCGTTTCCCGTCATTATTCCACTGTGACTGATCGTCCTCCCTGTAGCGTACATTGCTGCCTCCTCCGGCAGCCCATGCGTTGTCGTCGTAGCCTGCTTGATTCCACGAGTCCTTACCCTGGTCCCAGTCACGGTTGTAAGCCATAGTAGAGTAGATGGTAAAGTGTAGCTTTGAAGGTGAGGTGACAAGACCAGTGTTAGCGGAGGCAGTCACGGGTCTTCGAGTCGGCCGAAGCAGGATACACTCTTTCAACCTTTACCATCATGGGCCACGGTCAGTGCTCCTGGAAATTCTTTGATATGCGACGCTGACCAGAGAGACATCTATAGGATACGTCAAGGTACTTTATTCTATCCCATGAAGGATCGACTTTGGCCTAACGCGAGCTGCTCCAGACCGACCCTGCCATCGAGAGATGGAACACTATGGTATTACCTGCACATTTGCTCCCTTCAACCTGTCTCAACATTCTCTAGCGCGAGGAAGCTTTCTATCGCTTCCGGTTCAACTCTAGGACTACCAAAATTACCATGGTGGCCCTGGTGCTCATACCCGGATCGCTATTCTACTTTTGCAATACCAAACACGTATGTGTTCTAAACCACGACTCATTTACATCTCGCTCATTATTCAATAGTTGAAATGGGATTGGACAGCAAAGAGGAAAGGAGAGCCTCTCTGAAGAGATTAATTAATCAATCATTAGAATGTCATAGGACCTCAATCCCAGACCCTTTCTCGAACTCATGTTCCTCAGCCTCACCACAATTCCGTGATTTTGTGCTCTATCATTGGAAACAAGATGATCGAACGGTGAGTGAATGAGCGGCTGCTTCATATTCTTTTGCAAAGTTCTATGGCCACCAAGCAACCTCCACCTATAACTGTGCTCAAAAGTGCATGTGCTGGTGCCCGTTGAGAGAAGTTTGCGACCGCTATATCGAGGTGTTCTAGCTCGTCATCACGCAATTCGCGGACGACGTTCTTCAATAAGGAGATGCTAGGATGAGATGGCAGCGTGTCCAGTTCCTTCAGTTGGCTGTTATGGGTGTTTAGCATATACTACACGAGCACAATCGGCCATGAATAACGCACGCGTCGTAATGTTCCCCAATGACTGTCTCCACTGCCTCGGTGCAAGCCATGGCCGCTTCCTTCCCCATAAGCGCAGTCACAGCGCCAACGCCGAAGCCTGCCGCTTGGGCAATACCTGTGAGCAAAGTGGGCCGCACACGGTGCTGCGCGAGCAACCTGTCCATGACCACTAGATGCTTCTTTTCTTGGTCCCACATTTCCTAGATATACGTCAGACGCCATTTCTCCGAATATGATACCCCTAGAAATCACCTGTATGAGTGGGCCAACGACAGCATCCCGTCCAAGAACTGCCATTTGGCCTTTGTATATCCAGTTGGCAGCTACTTCTCCAGCTTGGTCGACTCGAAGAGCAATGTCTAGAATGTTCCGTTGATCAGGTGTGTAACCCACTGGCGAAGTAGACGTTGACGGGTCATTCCGGTCAAAAGACCCTGTGTAGGCAGATGAAGCGCTCGACGAGGACGGCCTCTGAGTCCTAACTGAACGCGACGCAACGAGAGAGACGCGCTTGAAGCAGCGACTAGAACCATTGGTGGCCAGGATCATGGAGGTCGATGTGAAAGCTTCCCGGCTGCGATCGCGGTGAGGTGTGTACTGCTGTGTAGTTGTGTTTGTATCTGAGACACCGATCTAGCGACACCTGGGATGGTAATTAGCAGACGCGACTGTGTGTTTTCAAGAGCATATATCTGGCATATATCAAACAAGGCGAAGTCGGCTACCCAACCGGGCGTTGCATGTATCCAGGGAAAGTCATGAGATCACAAGCTTGAACGCGTGTATCCGAATCAAGACTGTTGCCAACCACTTCTCTCCTTCTCCCACAAGTATCAAAGCTCCTGCAGCATGTCTTCTTCAACGTACGCGACTCTGAAATCCATGCATCATTTCGTCTAATGGATCCCCTAGATTTACCCCTTCTGAAACGTTTGACCCGACGAAAGAGAGAGATTGGCAGGCCAATCTAGGTGGGTAGCGATGTAGCATCTACGAGCTTTGACAATATTGAACGCAAATTTTGCAGGAATGTTGGACTGGGATAGCACCAAAATAGTGTTCACCAAGCGCACTCTCCTTGAATTTCTTAAGTACGTGCCGATATGCGCTAATGTCACGCGGCACTGAATGTCCTGCTGCAGGTCTACTGGGACCACGGTTGACCCGAACTTCACGAACTTGTCTAAGCTTCCTCGTAAGTCCTCCGATGACCACTCTATGCTGTATATTTATCTGTTGGATTGAAGGATACGCCACTTTCGGCACGTTGGCTGCTGGCGCTCTTAGCGACACTCAGGATCCAGTCGCAGCCGAAGCTTCCGGTGCACAGACTCATGACACGTTCATACCCACTCGCCGCGTTCGTGACCCACCTGGTGGAAAACACCACGACATCTTCGCCAACGACCAAGAAGACGATGCATTGTCTACGGCGCCTCCTAAGCTAACTGAAGAGGTATTTGTTGCCGCAAATTCTTCCACTGAACTGGGTGAATCATATGTTTCCAGGAAGCTTCCACCGCCGGACCAGCGGCTGTGATCAATTCTCCACCTCTGTCTGAAAATACTAGCCCGGACTTCAAGCCAAGCAGGTGAACAGCCTGATCCAGGACATATGTGATAGAGCTGACTTGCCAAAGGCGCGTACGCGAAATGCCTGGAGGTCGAGACAGCATATCGAACCTCTGGAACGACGATGCTCCACAGGAGCAATTCAAACCGACGCGCAGGTAAGCTATGGACATCAGGATATTCACACCATGCTAACGATGTGTGTGTGTAGGGTTAGGCAAGGGCCGGGAGGTACCGATCGCGACCATGTCACTGGAGTAAGCATTGTGTATCCCCTGTGTTTACTGCAGACTGATGGTCTTTCCAGATCTTCTGATCAACTACCTTCATGCATGTATAATTTCGTTGGCTATATTAATGCAATGATGTTGTACACTCAGTGTACACTGCAACCCTGATCCAAAAAGTATTTCTTGACACATCGGTAGCGAAAAGCGACGGGTAAACCCAAGGTAAACCCTTCAACTTTGATATCTTGGCAACAAGAGCAAAATTTTGACACGAGCGAGGTTCGAACTCGCGAGGATTTCTCCATTGGATCTTAAGACCAACGCCTTAACCACTCAGCCATCGTGCCTAACAATATTTATGCCTTTTGTACGCCACTACTCAGAACACAGCCTATCCCGATCAGATCTCCATTCACGCGACTAATTTATCTTTTATAGGATCCATTTGTCTGTTTCCGCCGTTCGGTACCTGGATCGTACAGCAGGTGTCCATTTGAATGCCCTGGCTTGGCCTCTAATGGACAGCACACCGCACTCATCCTTCAAGCACCCTATCTCGAGTTCCGCCAATAAGCCGTCATGAGCTTGAGCGATGTTATCCGTTTGGCTGGCCAAGGAGTGCCAGGACTAGATGCGGTCGTAAAGACTGGTGAGCTTGATTCTACTAGCTACTTCCTCACGCTTATCTGGCGATAGTTGGAGTCATATACAACAGCGCTCTCGAAGTCAAGGTTTATCGGGTGAGCACGCTCGCTTCTGTGGGTCCCAAACCATCCCAATGTCCTCATGTCTCCGCCGATCACAGGAGCAATGTGAACACCTCGCTTCACGATGCATCACCCTATTACTCGCAGTACACGAGAGCTCTGCGGATATGGTGGGGACAAGAGCTATGCTATATGCTGATGAAATTGAAGGGTGAGCACAGGCCGCATAGCTGCGCAAAAGATCGAAACTGCTTATCCTCGCGTGCTGCAGTACCATTGCGCCGATTCGGCGAAAGGTGGAAGAATGGGCAAGTTACACCCTTGTCAAGAGCTTCTGGTCAATTGGTGCCATAAAGGAGGGCATTGCCCACTTCTACCGGGATCTCGATGCATGCTTTGCCAAATACAATGTACGTCGTGATCACGTCGCGCAAAGTCACTTCAGCTGCTGAATCATTGACAGGTCCAAATGAGCATGGAGCTGAACAGAACTCAAAGAGAACAATTACAACTACAAGAAAGAGATCGAGAGGAAATGAGAAGACTTTTGCAAATTATAGCCAGCTCCGTCGATGAGTTGAAGGCCGTCCGGCAGATGCCTCCTCCGGCGGCTCTGGAAATGATGCAGAGCATCGAAGAAGTATGCTTTGTGCTCCTGACCTTGTTTTTGGCGGCCTACTGACATGGTACACTCAAAGGAACTCGATGATCCCCGACTTGAAACATCCCAAGCAAATAACTTGCAGAACAACCTTGCAGTGATCCGCGAACGCGCAGTTCCATTGCCTCGAATGGCCGACCGTAAGTATTGATATGTCTTGGTGTTCCATCCAGTGTATGCTCATTTGACAAGTGACCGGGGATGTCGAGAGGATAGGGGAATATCCCAAAACAATAGGGACATACAATGACATTTACATTGGTAAGCCTTCCTAGCACATCTCATGTAAGTAGCGTATTCTAACCGTTATATTCTTCAGGAATGTGGGCGGGCCAAACAAAGGTCAATCATATCACAAAGCTTGCTCTACTTGGGTTGACTTTATTTGCTTAGGTTGCTCTCAGATTACCTCGAGCTCTTCCGGATGATGAACGATCGCAAAGCGTGAGCTTCATTGATGATTTACCAAGTTATCCCTGAACGATTCTCTTGCAGAAATTTGAAAAGGAAGTTGATATATGGCGACGCCTAAGCCACCCCAATGTTGTTCGGCTATACGGTGTGGCTTACTTTGGCACTCGCGCGTATATGGTATTGTGTAATTCTTTTTATCTACACTCTATGGATTTTTGACGCCCACAAACAGGTCAGCCATTGGATGGACCATGGCAACGCAATTTCTTATGTCAAAAGTCATCCTGATGCCGACAGGTTACGCATTCTCAGTGAGGTGGCAGCCGGTCCGTGCACATAACCCGAGCGCTTTCTCTTCCCATATTAATTATTTCCCATCAGGACTAGAGTATCTTCAGCTTTCCAAGATCGTTCACGGAGATTTGCGAGGCGTACGTGCCAACAATGCCACATTACTGAAAGCTCGTCGTCCTGACCTATCATTCTATAGGCTAACGTGTTGATCACAGCGAGGCACAAAGCATGTCTCAGTGATTTTGGATTTTCAAAGATCCTTGAGGAGGTATAAAAAGAGTTCTCATAATGGTATAATCAGGTTCACTTACCGAACGGGTTTCTGCCCTGTTAGTGTTCCCAAGGAAACTCTTCGGGCCCAGCAAACTCACGATGGACCGCAGCGGAGATCTTGAACCCTACGTTGGTTTCTCAGTCAACAGCGGTAGTGTTCGCCTCGATGCGCACAGATATATGGAGTTTCGGAATGCTCTGTCTTGAGCTTTTGACTAGCCTGCCACCTTTCAGCGAATTCCCGAATGACATGACGGTGGCCATCACCATCGCTCATGGGCACCTTCCGCGCCGCCCAACCACATGCTCAGCCATTACGGATGATGTTTGGGCCCTTATGGGGAAGTGCTGGAATAGACAGCCTAATTTCAGGCCGTCGATTACTGCTTTGAAAGACGAGATCAAGCAGTTGAGGGGTGATATGTCGGTGCCTCCAAAGCCTGGTAAGCAGCGGGGTTTTCATGGAGATTCAAGCAATCTTACACGTTCCTGTCTACAGTGAGATTCCCTCTGACTAGCTCTCCACTTTCAATTCCCATGGAACTCCCCCCCGATCCGCCCAGGAAACCATCTGTCAGAATCAAAACAAGCCGTTCGTCAATGTCAAGCACTAGTTCTAAGCCTGCGAAAACTGAACGTCGTCCCTCCTCTTCATCATCACTCCTCGGTCGTCTCAACCCGTTTGGTCATCCGCGGTCTCCCTCAGTAATGACACCTTCTCCATCTTCGGCTAAACTATCCCCAGTATTTGGAGGGGGCACGCCAGAAATCTCGATTTCCCTACCTAATGACTATGGGTTACGTTTCAGCATGTCATCCTCGTCCCGCACGTGTACTTCCGACACAGCCATACTCATAGAGCAGTACGATGATCCGAACATGTCAAGGTCGGCCGATGGTACCGTCGAGGCAGGAACGTTGGACGCCTTGCTAGGACATTTGGTTGCACCCCATTCTGGTAAGCCCCGTGGTCTGTCTGTTTAACTGCAACCATAACTTAGCAAATTTACAGACGTGCAACGATCAGCGGAATACAGAGATGTGTTCTTCTCCACATATGTCGCCTTTACCTCCGCCGACGAGGTGCTCTCTCTTATGCTTAGCCGGTTCCATGCTGCAGATGCAAGTCCAGGCCAGCAACGCACGCTAATACGCATATAGTATGTGATATCAATGGTCCTCCTGCGGCGAACTGACTGAAAATATTTCAGCATTATCACGGTCATGAGATACTGGTTGACATGCGAGCACACTAGGATTGATAGTGCAATCAAGGACAAGATACTGGCGTTTGCCATGTCTGTCGTCAGTCACCCAAGCACGTCCTCAAGGATGAGAGAGCTGGCCAAAGAGCTCATGATGGAATCCGGAGCACCGGTGCGTATGCCTCCGATCCAATTGTTTCCATCTTGTCTCAATCACAGTCACGCGCATCAGATATCTCCAACGTCTCCCGTACCGAGTGCGTTCTCTTCGGGTGTGCCACTGAGCCCTCCCGCGAATGGAAAAGAGATTGCATTTGCTCTCATGCTTTTGGAAGGCGATAATTTCTCCCGTATTTTCGCCAGCGATTGCATATACAACCTTCGCGGTCAAGAACAGGAGCTTATACGTGCAGCCTCGGATCTCAACAACAGAGTGGTGTACTGGGTGAAAAAGGCCATCCTGCGTAATAGCGACTTGAGAGTGAGGAGTGGGCTCGTGGAGTCGATGATCACGGCCGCTGAGGTGCGTCAGCCCTACCCTGGCATTGGGTGGAACCAATCCTAATCGACGCATTCAGATATCGTACCAATATCGAAATTTCGCATCTTTGTGGGGTGAGCTAACCCCTCCCCCGCTTCCAATATTGATCTAACCTTTGAATCATGCCAGCTATCGTCACGGCGCTATCGTCGCTCACTCTGACGCGCTTGACGCTGACCTTTGAACGCCTGGACATGAAATCACGCCGCTCCCTTGAGAAGTTGGGTGGGTACCTGGACCCAACGCACAACTTCAGCGCGTACAGGGCGGCCCTGATCAGCTCTGAAAAGCCTTGCATACCGATATTAGGTGCGCACATTTTATCGCGCATTGCTTGCCAGCCTACTGAGCGCCGCGCAGCCGTCCACATGCACGATCTGCACGCCACAGTTGCCCGGAGCCCCGATGAAGTCGACATCAACGGCACTACGATGATCAATTTTGCAAAGTGGCGCAGATTCCATACGACTGCTCACGAATTCCTGCATCACAAGCCGCCTGACATGTCTAAACACCGCAACTCGGAATTTTTCGTGTACCTGCAAGATCAGCTTGGCCGTGTCACTGTGGGTGCCGAAACGGACCAGGGCTTTGAGAGACAGAGCAAGAGGCACGCGAAAGTCGAAGAAAAGATGCGCGAGCAGCGGTTGCCAGAGCTGTACATGTTGGGGATAGAATAATCGCCGCGGACTGTCAAACCCATCTCTATGTATAGGCCCGATTCGATATTAAGGACATTTATACCATTCCCTAGCGCTATCTCATAATACCCAGTCAATATATATATAAATCTCACCTAACCACTGAAGCTCCATAATCGAACATCGCCATCATCGCTGCCCGAGATAATCTTATCTTCTCCGAGTGCCAGGCAGGTGACTGCCCCCCGGTGGCCAACAAGCGTCGCCGTGCAGCGCCCATCTTCCCGAGCCCAAACCTGAATCAAAATCAGCAACGGTATTCCGATGTTTGCCTTGCCAACATACCTTGATGGTGCGGTCATGGCTGCCGCTGACCAGCCTCAGTTTGTCGCTCGCGACCGCCCACACGCCCTCGATATGCCCAAACAGCGTCTTGGTCGCCTTGCCCGACCGGATGTCCCATATCTTGATCGTGTTGTCCAGACTCCCCGAGATCAGCACTGGCGTGCGCCGCTTCGTAGAAGACGCGCCCTCGGACATCTCCGCGCCGCCTGGATAGCCGTCCCATGCAGCGAGATCAGGCGGCGTGCTGCTCCCCGATGCGCTCTCGC